TAGTAAATAATGGCTCGGCTGTGCACAGCAGGCCCTTTGTAAAACAGGAAGTCCAGTTTTGAGGTAGAGAGACCTTTTCCTGGGTAGGAAATATTCTCATTAGTATGAAGGCCCCTGTTTGAGATTTTGAATTGTTGAACTTAATTCACATAGATCACGTGATCAACAATACACATAGTACCAGTTGTATTAGGGGACACGTGCCACCAGTGCTACACTTAGATACGACACTGCCCAGGAGGCAGCCCTGTAAGGAGGCCTCATCCTGTTCAGGTGTAAGGAGGCCTCATCTTGTCGTAGCACCGCCCCCGGTTATGGGCGCAACTCCTTACGGAAGCGTTTTGTGAAGACGCGCTGTCCGTCATGCGAGCTGCCCTTTTCCGACTGCAGTGCGTCGAAGCCGGGATGAGAAGACGAACGTGCTGAGTACCTCGCACGTCATTGAGGCGTTCTTGATTAGTAAGAAACGTACGGGCCGGTGATTGAGGCTCGCCTGTGATGTGAATTTCGTGGAAAAAGTGAGAATGTTACGAGTGAAGGTGGACGTGGCATGAGAGTACAGCCAGGCCAGGCCTTCGCGCACGCTAGAAATGTGTTGCATTTTCCACAAATGATCCGTGCGACAAAGTGCGTACGTAATATTGGGGCTTCACCATGCGTTGCAAGCCTCTCACCTTGGCGGAAAGGGCCGACACCACGAGACAATCGAATGCATAGCCGTGTTTTCCCAAACGCACACAAGCTATGAATTATTTTGAACTGCGGCCAGGCGTTTGGCAGAACCTTTGCCGTACACCGAAAAGAATAACGGACGCAAGAAAATCATAGTAGAAGTAATGGTGGTGGGCAGTGAGCTAAGGGGCAAGACATTGTGGAGAGGGGAGACAGCAGGCACATAGAAAGGAACACCGGCGGGAGAAGGGGGGGGGGGGGAGGGGGCACGGCACCCCACTTTCCGGGATCGCCTTCACATTTGACATTAACTCCTCAACTTTTATAAACATTCCTTCGCCTATGAGCAGGGACATGACCCCAACTCAACACGTGAGTGGAACGATAGGTAGTCGGTCATCAAGCGGCACTAGGTTAAAATGTTGTCATCGTTGAGTTTCTGGAAAGCGATTTTCCCAGAGACGAGAACCTGATTATCGTTGGCCTATTGCACTAGAAAAGCACCGGCACAATGCAGGATAATGTCTTTGGTAACAGTGTTGAGAAGAAGGGGTTCTAGGGAAAGCCCTCAAAGGCTCGCTGACTGATCGGCTGTGGGGGGAAGATTTGTGAAGCAAAGAGGCAAGCATTTGCTGTGGTCAGAAAGATACGTTTCATACCAGGCGGTGTCGTGGCAATGAAAGTGCAGTTTCGGGAGCAATTTAGAAGGATTCATCATTAATTTCCCCTGAAGAAAAGCTTAAAAGACGTCATAATGCATTTGTTTTCATTAAGCTCCTGCCCCTACAATTAATGAAATCCTGGCAGCGTCCCTGGGCTAAAACGACAGTTCCCACGCGATGCCTAAAATTACGATGCACGATAAACACGTCCAAAGGAAAACTATATTATCAGCAGGCACATTGATCAACTGAGACAGGAAGTAGCAGCGAGAAAGCCGAGAAGTTTATTGGGTGCTGGATTGGGCTAGACGTCTGCCAATGCGTTTTTGGCAGACGCCCAGTCCGACCGATAATGACAGCAAAGTCGGAGAAATTTACAATAAAGTGCCGATACAAAATTTCTTCGTCATCCGAATCACCGTTTATAGCGTCAACACTAACTTTCATGCGCTTCCACCACAAGACACGCCGCAATGACTCAAAAGGAGACATCAAGCTGGAAGACATTGGTGCGGTTATTGTTTTCGCAACGATTTTGTCTCAACGGACATTGCAACATTGCTGTGACCACTCGGAGCAAACTTCCGGTCGACGCGCATCGAGGCTGCATGACCTGCATTGACCAGCAGCCTGGCGACAGCGGTCATTTTAAGCCACGTTCCACGGACAACGGTCACACTGCAGTGAAAAAGATGAAGATGATGGGAAAGTTCGATCATCTTTTTCCGTACTGATTGAATGTATATACTCCAAACTGGCCAGGACACGCAAAACGGTACCCTACGATCATGTAAAAAAGTGCATCGAGAAGAATCGTGAATTCTAAGATGCACGTAGCTGCAGGCTTCTTGTCAGCCACTGCGGTAAGCGCAGGTAAGGCTGCGTACTGTCATGGCATGTGCAGCACTCTTGCACGATAATAGTGGTAAGACGTAAATCAAGACATAAATTGACATCTGAAGCCTGACAGTACAGGTATCTTGTCTGAAACGTTCACGTGAATGAACTAAATTTTAAGCAGCAGAGAAATCGACGTGACAGGCAGTATGGAATATCTATATCGATTGAGCGTATCGCCTTATTATGAGGCGGCATTGGCCGGAGCCCCGTTGGCGCACGTGTAGGATCATCAGCTCATAAGATTACCCCCGACACGTGCGACTCTGTTAGGGGCATCACCCAGAAGCCGGCTCTTCGGGGAAGGGTAACTGATGACCCAGGAGCTAGTATGGGCAAACTGTGACTCTAAAAGAGCAAACCGACGACATGGCGGTTATTTACTTTATATGAAGGGGATCGTCGCTGCCGCCAAAATGACCCCATGGGACTAGTGCTTTACGACTGCATTGGTACCTCATTGGTGGTGTTTGTGCATCCGACCGCTGTCGGCATGCACACAACCGTATGATGGAGACGGGCCCAAATCATCATCATCATCATGATGGAGACGGTATGGCCAAATGGGCGTCACCTTCAGTGTACGTTATCTCAACACGTTCATGCCGCGACCAGCAAACTGCTATTGTTAACAGCCCCTGTTCAGCACTAGCTGTCACGGGAGAAAGGAAAGCTCTGCAAGCACCCTGACTCGGACTTCAATCACGCCTGGTCAGCAAGCGACAACAGGCTGCTGAGGTACCGGAGGTCCGCTGGGGTTGGGGTCCCGTTATGTCGGAGGTCGTTCGAACAAGATATTTACCTGGCTCTCTCTAACCCACGCCGCCAGCAAACTGTAGGTTTGCTGTTGATGAAGCACATTATTTTGGTTTGGGAGTTAGGGGTAATGATTCGGGAGCTGGAGGGTAACTATTCTCACTGGCGCAAGACAGCGCTGCCAACGAGCGCCCTTGGATGGCAGCGATGATGTGCGGAAAACCTGAAACTAACGTTTCACGTTTAGCACATAGATGTCGCTCAAACACAGACTTCCTCGTGGGCTCGCTTTCGCCGTGCTCAGACATTCGGTGCGGGTCGGGTAGTAAACAACGTCGCTGCCACGGATGCAGAATGCGAATGCCGTGCTGTTCAAATTGCTCGGTCGTTGTCTTGGTGATTTGGTGCGTTTTTTGTAATGCATCGGCTCGATTCAGCAAATATGAATTCCCTTGCATATTTAGTACCTACATTGGCATTTCCTTCCCTCCTAGATGAGATGTCATCTGTCAGTGCTAAGTCGCGCTACGATCCCCAGGGTCTTGGCCTGAATACAAAAGTGGGTATTAGTCGCAGCCGCACGGAATGGAACACAGAAAGTGTTAACTGGAACCTTCTCTTACCGGATCCCGG